GGGGAGCGGGGAGGGAGGGGAAAAATGAGGAGCTGATGCCAGGGGCTTAAGTGGAGAGCAAATGTTTCGAGAATGATAAGGGCAATGAATGTACAAATGTGCTTTACACAATTGATCTATGTATGTATGGATTGTGATGAGTTGTATGTGCCCCTAATAAAACGATTAAAAAAAATAGAAAGTGGGGGGTGTGGTGGGGTGTGCTGGGAGCAGATCATAAAGTGCGACTCAGCAAGTAAACCCAACCCGAAAGAGGGTGTCTGAGACTAAGCCTTTATGGGAGCACCCAGCCTCATCTTTCTCCTCAGGAATGGCTAGTGAATTTGAACCAGAACCTTGCTGTTAGCAGCCCAATGCCCTAACAGCCCAATGCTTGGTAAGTAGAAGGCACAGACAGCAGAGCTCAACCCGGGCGGTGGGAGGGACAGGCTTGCCAAAGGAAATGTGGGAGACTTTAAGAATCAATCTAATGAGGCAGTGGAAACAAGCTCTAGTAGGAGTCTCGGGGAACCCACAATTAGTATGTCAGTGGAAAGACTCTCAATGTCAAGTGTTTTCCCATTGTGCTAATATTAGCAATCAAGTCACTCACTGGTTGTCATATACTTTGATTGTTTGTAAAAGGCAAGCCACATACGAAGAAAAATTAACATGATGAAACCCTGTTTTTCATTTTAAAAGCCAGGGAATGTCTGAATTTGAGGCAATGCTCATGAAGTCTAAATCTCTCACAGCTAAGTAACATATTTTCTCAAGTTTATGAACTAGCTCTAGATTAGAAGGATAAAGAATTTTATACTAGAAATTTTGACTTTTTCAAAAGAAAAAGTTGCTGCACAAGATGTGAGTAAACATAAAGTCCCTGAAGGAAATGAGTAATGAACACATCTGCATATCGTCCTTGAAATGCTTTTTCTGGGTATTCACTGAATTTATTTGAACATTTTTGATCGGGTTTACTCCATGGCAATGATTCATTTTACGTGCCACTTTGGCTGGGCTTTGGTGCCACTGGACACCATTCGGAAATGTTCGCATATGATGAATCAGTTCGCCTTAAGTGGAGCATGTTAACTTCCACCATCACTTGAAGGTGCTGAAAGGCTGTCTGTGTTCTTTGGCCAGACTATACCAGACATTTGCCATTACATTCTTCACTCCTCCTGTCTTCGGACTTACCGATCTTGGATCACAACCCTGCAGGAATGTCCAGTCTGTCACCTGAACCGTAGATGCTAAACATGTTAGCACAACTTCCCCACTCCCTACCACCACATGAGCCAGTTTCTTCAAATAAATCTCTTTTTCTATGTATGTATGTATGTCACTGGTACTATTTCATTCCTCTCGGTGATGTGCGCCTGAGCAGAGACTATGTACCATGTGGCTCCCTCTGCTTTTCATC